AAAAAGAAAAAAAATGGAAACAAAGAAACTGCAAAAACAATAAAAGCAATGTAGGAAGGAGGAAAGGTTTGTCTTACATCGTAAATTCTAATATAGAAGCAATAAAAAACAACTTGACAGCCGGGTAGTGACCTCGGCAGCCCTTTTGTGAAATTAATTATAAATGCCGTCACCAGTAGCTGTTATCCAATCAAATTTGAATACAAGGAATCCCCCCACCATTCCATCTCTGTAACTCTTCAACGAACAAACATTCGTCGTTTTAAAGTTTTTGCCATCTCGTACAGCGACCACGATTCTAGGAACTAGCAGAGGAACAAAAGTAAAACACTTAAACGGAGATTAGCAAAAAAAAAAAAAAATAAATAAATAAATAAAAAATAAAACAAATATTCTATCCCGGATATTTTGTGAACTAGCCAAGTGAACCACCTGCATTTTTTGGTTTACCAACAATTTTTTAAAAAAAGTTACAAAATTAACTGACGTAATAATATTTGTTACCCGGAAAAAAGACGAATTGGAACAAGCGCGAAATGGTATGGAAAGCCAACTTGACACAACAGGTTAGTTAAAAACAACAAAAAACAATGTTGTTTTGAAAAAAATAAATGTTGAATACACCGGAGTGAATGCCTGCGGGTGTGTGATTTATGACAGAGAAAGTGCAATTTCAATGAAGCGAATGTGAGGAATAGAGAAGTTAAAGGATGAGAAAGAGAGATGGGAAAAGCAAGAGGGAGACTAAAGAAGAGAAAGAGAAAGTGAAGAAAAGGAAACAAAGATAGAGAAGAAAGACTGAAAGAGAGAGGAAAGGAAGATGGGGGTGGGGGGAGAAAGGAAAGAGAGAAGAGAAAAAAGAAAGAAAGGAAATAAAACAAGAGAAAGAGATAAAAAAGGAAATAGAGAGTTAAAGAAGGGGGAAAAAGAGGAAAGAGAAGAAAAGGAACTAAAGAAAAGGAAAAGAAATGAGAAAAGAAAATAAGGTAAAGCAGAGGTAAATATTAAAAAGTAAATGAAAAGAAAAAAAGTAAAGTGATAGGGTCAAAAGAGGGGAAAGGCAAGGAAAAGAAAAGGGAAAAGAATGGAAACGGAAAAGAAGAAAGAAAAAAGAAGAGAAAAGAGAAAAAGAAGAGAAAAGAGAGTGAAAGAAAGGAAGAGAAAAATAAAGAAAATAAAAGAGACGAAAAAGAAGGTAAAGAGGCAAAACAAAGAAAGGGAAGAAAAGATAAAATGGAAGATAAATTTAAAAAGGAAAAGAAAAGAAAGTAAAGAAAAGGTAAAGAAAGAGCATAAAAACAAGAGGAGATAAAAAGATAATAAGAGGGAAAAGAACGAAAGGAAAGAAAAAGAGAGAAAAAAGATGGTAAAGAGAGAGAGAGAGAGAGAGAGAGAGAGAGAAGAAAAGAAGACGAATAAAGTGGAAAGAGTAAATTTAAAAAAATCTGTATACATGAAAGTTCACAGAAAAAAAAACAAACAGGAAAGTGAAGTGTCACATATAAGAGTGAAAATGGTGTTTGTTAAGAGCAGTGATTGCGTGTGTGTGTCTGTGTCTTTGCAGATCTGCGTGTGTCTTTGTGTCTGGTTGCATGTATTTGCCTGTTTATATTTGTGTATATCTTTTGCGTGTATATCCATGGTTATGTATATATCTGCATGCATGAATGCCTCTGTGTGTGTCTATTTATATATATATTTGTATGCGCGTACGCGCGTGTGTGTCTGTGTGTTTGTTTATGCTTTTTGTACATCTCTGTTTATGTATACCTCTTTTTGTGTATCTGCTTCTGTGTGTCTGTCTATGTTTATGGACGTGTCTATTTAACGTTTATGCATGTGTGTGTGTGTATATGTATGTGCGGGTGCGTCTGTGTTTCTGATTATTTTTATATCTGTGTGCGCGTATTTGACGGATTGCATTTAATGTGTTTTATTAAAACTGATTAACTATTATTTTCCTTGAAGCGTAAGAGAGAAGGAGAGAGTGAATGAGAGAGAGAGTGAGAGAGAGAGTTAATGAGAGAGTGAGAAAGAAAGAACACTAAAAAGAAAATGAATAAAAAAAGAAAATGAATAAAAAAAAGAAAATGAATAAAAAAAGAAAAGGAAAAAGAAAACAAAAAAGGAAAAAATGAAAAAAGTTAAAAAGAAAAAAAAAAGTTCGTGCAACCAACTAAAAATCTCACTATTTTTCATTTATTAGAATGAATTGTTGAACGTTAATATCTTTTTAAATCATTTTAAAACGTAATAATTGAAGGTACGCCGTGGTGGAGCGATTATCCAGTAAAGAAATATCGAACAAATATCAAAATACAACTGGGGCAGCTATATTATCTAAAATTTTATGTTTATATATTTTCTTTTATCACGATTAAAGTTTTCGTTCAACGTACAATCCCAACTGGTTAGATTTTTATTTCATAATGCTCTTTGTAATAGAGACTTTATAATCGCAGATACAACTATAATAACGCCGTTGAACAATACTGGTGTCAGACGCATTCGAATAGCACTCGCACTAATAGTATTTGCTCGATTAATGCTCGCTCGACAAGTAACCCGTATAGAATAGAATCTGAGTAGAGAAATAGTATAGTGAATAGCGGTCCGTATAATAATAGAGGGCAGAGTAGAAATGGGGTCTGGTATAGTATAGAGGATAGACTAGAAATAGCTATTAATCTATACGTCACGCGACTTCCTACATATATGCGTTTCCTCTATGGTCAGTGGTCTACTTAATTCAATAATGGGATCGCATGTGTTGGCTCACTGGCGATCTATGTTCAAACTCGAGTGTCGGCAGCAACACTTTATTCCTATATAACAGATTGGAGCTTTTAAGAATGAGGAGCAACAGCCATTTTTATTTCCAATTTCATGTTTCGCTTTTGTTGTTTCATCATAATTTTCATTTTTTCTTTTACCTTACTCTTCGTTTACCTGTTGATTCAAATGTACTACACTGTATTCAAAGATTGAAACAATACAATAAAAATTAATAAAACTACTACTACTATTACTACTACTACGCACGCACGCGCACACACACACACACACACATATATATATAAGGATAAAAATATGTTTTTATAGTATGTGCTCAACATCAGGGATAGAGCGTATGTAAATAGAAAAGTGGACATTGATGCCAACACCCAGCGGTGACAGTTTGTTTCATGTTTAAACACATGGCCTGAAGATTGCGTTTAAGCTGATAGGACCCAGCCTGTCTTTGTCATATAGAAGAGATGGATTCATGCCTGTGTCTCAAGTAAGTGAATTTAACGAACTTGATTGTCATTCGAACTTCGCGGGAATGCAGACACACAATCTGAAAAAACAAAAAAAAAACAAAAACAAAAAAACAAACTTGCACAAATGAAAAGTGCATATAAAAAAGAAAAATAAAGAATCATAGAGCATAAGCAGTCAGTTGCTTCTAACCTCTAACGATTGGACGGAGTAATTGCGAGAGGGACCGTTTACAAAATTCTGAAGTCGGGATACTGAATCAGCTAAGGACAAACCTTTACTTGTATTATATATATATATATATATATATATATATATATAATGGGTTTCATTCACCCTTCCTTAGGGAACAATACCAGTTGGTGTCAAGAACATTATATTTATTGAAGTCTGTCATTTTTTTTATTGTTTTACAGACATAGTAACTGCACCGGGTGTCTAACAAAGTTTGTAATGCTTGAAGTGACTGGGTTTTTAATTCAAGGATGTTTTTCTCCTAGCCTAGTTGCTAGATAGCCGGGTTTGCCTTGTTATTTAACCGATAGCCGAAAAAAGAAGCGATGAATACAAACCTTAAACACACACACACACACACACACACACACACACACACATATATATATATATATATATATATATATATATGTATGTATATATATATATATATATATATATGTATGTATGTATGTGCGTGTGTGTATATTTTACTGCAAAAAAACAAAAATTACTTCTATTTCAAGCCGTTCTGTATACGGATAGCCGTATACAGAACGGTTTGAAATAGACTGTATCTATGTTGAGGTAATCTTTTGCCAACCAAGGCTATAAGACTGAGTCTGTCCTGCTATTCAACTCACATATCGGAGGAGAAGAGATGGCGTGATATCTTTCTCAAGGGTATTTAACAAACCCGACTGGAATTAGAACTTGACTGTCCAATTTCACATTCTGAGCCGATATCCATTACACGTTATAGTGTAATGGATATACGTAAAAGCAGGCAGGGGTAGAGGTTAAATTAGGGGTTAAAAGTGGAAGTGTTAGATATCAAATGATGGGGGTTGCTAAATCAGATTTTGAGTTTTAAAGATTCCTGATTATCGATTATTTTTAATTGATTATTTCATAAAATAAATATCTTTTTTTTATCTATTATCCGAGTGTAAATATTTTTGGCGCTTTGATTTTACATGCACTTTTTTTGCTACCTTTTTGTACTTGTCTTCTGAGGAGAGACCTATAGATTTTACCACATATAAGACTTATACAGACATTTAGAATGTTTAAAAAAACGAAAATTAATTTTCCTATTTATTTTGAAAAGTAATGACATTAACAAATTTAGACAATAACACAATTCGGCTCAGTAATATTGTCAAAAGCATAAATTTAGTCTTGTTTCGTTCCCAGTTCGAGCAAAATCTGAGAGGGAGCTGGAATCTTCCTCGGCTCCTGTATCACTCTGAATGACTTAATTTAGCATAGTTAGAAGTTTATAGCAACTAAGACTGATTTTACTACGATATAATGGTCGGTAGGACTTCTTTGGTAACCACTACTGCACATCGATACTCCCAAGTTGATATTTATGTTATAAGGTTATATATGCAAGAGCTAACCATTGCTCCGTTTACGACGTGGCATCCTAAACGGTAGATTAGTAACATCCAGTCAAACGGGTAGGACATTGAGAACATATTTATGTGGGCTTAAATATCAAATCATTATTTTTATCACTTATGTTCTTTACAGTCAGTCTATGGCAACGTATGATTCGTTCATTTTTATACCCGTGATAACAGATGTGATTGTTCCACGCGCACGCATGCGTACAAAAGAACGTATTAAAACAAACGGACCGAGAAATCGTTTCAAGTTTATTTGCTTCGTAGAGGTATGTTATTTATCTTGTGTTTCCTATCAATGAGAGCTACTTCTCTTTTTCTTGATTTTTCTATGGTACCAATTCTCTTTTGTACCTTGTCTTATTGTTACTTTTCTTCACTCTCACATGTTTAACTCTTTCTCCCTTTCTGCTAAGTTGCTACATTGTTCCTTTTATCTCTTCTCTCTTTATTTATTTACCTATACCTTGATTTTCTTTTGCTATATTCATTTGATCCACCTGATGACTGTGGTAGTCGCGTATTTCCAATTAGTGCTCGTCGGGTTTTGGGCTCGTGTATAAAGTCCGGATTTCGAATGTTTATTTAGAAGGCTTTTGTCACTAGGAAGGCTAGCACAACGCAATCTACCTGATCCTATCTTTTCTTATGCCATGTTAAGCTCAGTAAATATTTTTTTAATATATTCGTAATCTTACGATCTGATAGACTAAGAGGGTTTTGCAATGTAAATGTTTATGACTAGAGTTATCTCCCTTGTATTGGCAATTTATTAGCTCTTTCAAGATTGATATATGAATACCTAATAATAGTATGGACATAACAAGTCATGATTAAACTAATAGATTTTACTGGACATAAAGTGGAGGTCGATTTTTTTTGCTTTTTAATGACTAGCCGAATTACCCGCACCTTGCTGCGTGTCCCAAATTTTTTGTAAGAAAATGATGATTGATTTTAAATCATTGTTTAATTTGTGGAGAAAAATGGTGCATTTCAATATTACACAATGATGTTGTCGATGTGACCTCCATCTTCTGGCTTTCTCCTGCTATATTTTGGATAGGAGTCAATCCCTTGTTCAAATCTAAATTTAATTGAAGTCAAAGGGAAAAAAAATCAGTGGGGTTTTGTGATCCCCCCCACTCCCGATCAAAATGATCTTACCGATGTGATCCCCATCTTATGGCTTTCTCCTTCTATATTTTTGATAGGAGTCATTCACGTGATTAAATTTAAATTTAATTTAAATCAAAGGGAAAAATCAGTTAGTGGTGGTGGAGAGGTTCCCGGTGATCAAAATGAAAAATATATAAAACCTAATGACTGTAAGGACCATTTTTGAATGGCACGGGTAAAATTCTGAATTACTATTGAACAAAGAAAATTTTTTTTTGAAAAGTGAACATTTTAAACCAATTTAGATTTATGTACGAGTTGCAATCCAGAAGTTTTGAGACATTTTCAGGCTAGACATTTATTAATTTCAAAGAAGTACAAAACACTAATCTCCTTCAAAGTAAGATCCTCTGACTTCAATGCCCTTGTTGTAGCACTTCAACCACTTCGTAAAGGCCCCATGGAAGTCACCCAAAGCACAACATCCACTGTCTTCTCAATGTCATCAAAACGACTGATGTGTTTTAATCTGTCGTGTTTTTTTTTGTTTTTTTTTGCATAAATTACGACATATGAGTGGAATTGATTCACTAAAGAACATTTGATTGGTTTTCGTGGTTATGTGTTGGCTATTGTGTCAATTTCGTTGTCTACTGTTGGATTGTAGGGAGGGTTAGGAGCGGTTTCGGTGCCCATTTCTGTCAACGCAACACTTCCAAATTGTCTTCACGTTCTGACTTCATTCTGTAAACTCGTCGTGACAACCAGTGTTTAGTAGTGTGTGTTCAAAGAGCTGTTACAACCGTCTCCTTGAATCTGGGATAACAAAAGGTGGCAGGTCAGCTTATTAGATGTATAGTAATAAGATGCTAAAATTACAATAATCTTAGACAATTCTAAAAAAATTCTAAGAAAGTATCAAAACTTTTGCAATGCACCTAGTATCTATCTATCTATCTATCTATCTATCTATCTATCTATCTATCTATCTATCTATCTTATTCTTTCTAGTTATATCTATATCTTAGATTAGTTTTATACTTAGGATCTGCACAGTAGACATGATCTGCTTGAGTAGCTCGTTAATCGTAACATGACATGGTTGATGTCATTCTGCATTTCTCAATGGTGCTAGTAGTTTTGTTCGAATCTATTAAAAATGGATTTTGGATACTGTTTTTCTTTTTTTTTTTTTTTTTTAAATAGAGCTAGGCCGTATTTACGTGGAAGATTGACGCACGCAATCTTCCTACAACCATTTATTACAATTTGGCTTTGTGCCGTACTAAGCTAGGTTTAGTAAATATCTAGGCACCACTCCAAATTCTATGAAAGTTACAATCTTTTTGCTACGGATTACCAATGTGTCAGGCAAATAGACTCTTACCGCCAGCCAAGAATTTCTTCAATTTTCAATGAATTTAATAGTTCTCTAAATGACGAATATTTTAGGAAAGAAAATGTATTGGGATAACTAATTTTATGTTGCAGGATTTCCAGTTATTGAAGGGATATATTTCGTGGAAGAGATAATGTAAACTAATTAGTAAGTATGTGAAGTATCATTGGTGTTCTTGGAAGCTTTCTCGAACAGGAGATAGGAATGTAATTATAAGCAATATTGTACAATTAATAGCAACAAATTTTATTGCCTTAGCAAACTAAATAGAAAATATACAAGAATATAAGGAGAATATAAGGAGTATAAGGAAAATAAACAAGAATATAAGGAGTGAGAGAGAGGAGAGAGAAAGAAAGAGAGGAGAGAGAGAGTAGAGTAGAGAGAGGGGGAAAAGAGAGAAGAGAAAGAGGGAGATAGAAGAGAAAGAGGAAGAGAGAGAGAGAGAGAGAGAGAGAGAGAGAGAGAGAGCAAGCTTTCCAACCTTTTATTTTACACTGCTTTTGTCAACGCCATCTGTCGCTAGAAGAAATTCCTTGGCTTTTCTCAGTACTGTTATATTAATTCTGATTCCTTTTTGTGGTTTATTCTCGTCTTCCTTGCATTCTTCCAGTACCACAATATTCATTCTGATTCGTTCTTGCCATCTATTCCAGTCTTCCTTGCATTCTTCCAGTACCACAATATTCATTCTGATTCGTTCTTGCCGTCTATTCCAGTCTTCCTTGAATTCTTCCAGTACCACAATATTCATTCTGATTCGTTCTTGCCATCTATTCCAGTCTTCCTTGCATTCTCCCGGTAGAAATAGGCGTATCAAATGCACGTGTTTTCCCTTGACATTGCTATTAATGTATACTTCCCCGGTAAATTTTATTATTTTAAAAGCTACTTTTATAATTTGAATAAAACCCAAACATGTAAAACTGAATTTAAGCATTCTTTTTTCTCTCGAGAATTCGCCCCAAAAGATGTGTCGTCTTAAATTGTTAATGCAAAATTCACTCGCAAAAAAGAATTATTCTTATACTCAAAAACATGTTTCGGTTTTAAATAATCCACAAGGATTTGATAAGCCGCTAAACAACAAATCAATCAATTAGAGTGTATGGCAATTCACAGATAATAAAGAAAAAGCCGTGGAGAGTCATGATCGTCTACGATAGGTCTTGAAGAAAAATGATATTTTAAAAATACCAAAAATAATAAAAAAAAAAGTTCAATCTTGCGTAAATCGAAACACATAATCTTGAGTGTAACATTGATGTTTTACGTCAGTGTATATACGTAACTAGGATTCTCGTAGGGAAAAATCCGAGGTTGCTGGGTCCCAAAACTTCTTCCGATCCTTACTCGAAAGTTGGCTACCGAGCTGGCTACTGCTCATCAGAGGATGTGTAAATAAAGTAGTGCAGGGGTTCTCATACGGGATCCACATGGGCCCTAGGGGTCCATGTAATATTTTCAGGGGTCCACAGGCAAAATATAACAAATTGGGGGCCCACAATGATATTTTGGTGGTCCATGAAGAAAGCCAACTCAGAATGGTTTTTATTACTAAAAGTTAAATTTCTACTGTAATTTACACTATATATATATATATATATATATATATATATGTGTGTGTGTGTGTGTGTGTATATATATATATATGTGTGTGTGTGTATATATATATATATGTGTGTGTGTGTGTGTGTGTGTGAATGATTTTTTCTTTATTTCTTTTATATAGGTACCTCCACTGAACTTTCGATACCCTAGGGTATATACTCGTAGGGTTGGTTGGTTGATAGGCATACGAGTGAGGTGTCCGAACCACTTGATCCTATGTCGTTCGATATGTTATTTATTATTATTAATCGAATATCATTGTTCTATAAGCATGACTTTGAGAGACCACTTCACCGTTTATATGATAATAAAACTTGTATCCATAATAACTGAAGCAACGGAAGAGTTTTTAGCTTATCTTTTATGTGCCGTGTCACTTCAAGATGTTGACGATCACGTCTCTCCACAACCTTCTATCCCTTGTAGCTCAAATACTTATCTATTTACTATCATACAGAATTTCTTCTATAATCCATTTAAGCAAGCTCATTACTTAGGTTACTCGATGTTTCGCTCCGGTCCGATTGCTTTCAATGTTTCATATGTTTTTTTGTTTTTTTTATGTTCACCCTGTACAAGGCTCAAGAGCCATAGTTGACTATTTGCGTGCAGTATCATATAACTTAAGGTTATAAGGATTAATTTTCATTGAAACAATTTACAATTCGAATAAATGTTTTTCGAACAATTATTTTTGAACAATGTTCATATAATCGATCAAACAGCTCAGTTCTCGAAGAACCACACTTTTTGGAAGAGAGCCGAATACAAAGAACTGGTTCCTCAAATGATCCGCCGTAAGTTTTGAATTCAGAGTTATCCTTTTCATAGACCGGTTGCCACTATACGACCTAGTCTGTCCTACTATTTACCCCAAGGGTTGGATTCATACCTTTTCCAAAGCTATTAGTACGTAAGTAAATGTAATAGGGCTTTTTTTTTGCAACAAGTGTCATCCCATCATCCCAAAATATGGAAATTCTTTGAGGGTTTTAAAAGAGAACAGGACTTACAAGAAAATCATATTACAAAGGCAAAATTAGTGGAATTTTTTAACGAGTACTTTTCAGTAGTTGACTATTTACGTGCAGTATCATATAACTTAAGGTTATAAGGATTTTTCTTACTAAATTGTTTTATTAACGATATTTGCATTTCGAATAATTATCATTTGTGTATTTCCTCATTTAATTTTAATTTTTTTATTGCAATAAAAAATTTGCATTTCGAATAATTTATTATAATTGTCCTTTCGATTAAATATCATTAAAGCAATTTACCATTGGAATAAATGTTTTTCGAATAAATACTTTCGAACAATTTTCTCGATACGGTAATTTTCACGTCATTTTTTTTAATATAAATTACAAAATACACAATAAGTTGGTCATAAAATAAAAAGAAATATTGATTATATCAGATCAATACGCATTAAAACAACAAAGATGGAAGTTACTTTAATCTATGACTACAAAGCAATTTTTTTCTATATATATATATATATATATATATATATATAAGTGAGTGGGCGGTACAAAGGAGATGGAAGATAGGAAGTAGAACCTATTTAATAGGATTCATGCCCAATATATTTTTGCAAATAATTCTCGCTATCTGTAGAATTGTTTATTAGAGAATTCAATGTTTCAAGTGTAAGCTTGGCATTGCTACAAACGGGCCGATCACATGACTTTGTCCCGTGACCGAGATAGTTAAGTATTTCCCTTGGCTATATTGGTTGGTTATTCGAGCCCAAGTAATAAAACTAGGATTTCAAATGCTGATTTTCTAGGAAAGCCCCCTAGTCTTCCTTACTTTGAAGATTGCTGTAGCACAATCTTTCTACGCTGATCTCCCCCTGTCTGGTCATGAGCTGTACTCAGTTAAAATTTGGAAATATAGATATATATGCCCCATTTCAAAGAGAAGCAAAGATATATTCTCTTTATTAAGAGTTTTTTTCCTATCTATCTATCTATCTATCTATCTATCTATCTATCTATCTATCTATCTGTCTATCTATCTATCTATCTATCTGAGACTATTCATATCTATCTATCTATCTATCTATCTATCTATCTATCTATATCTATCTATCTATCTGAGACTATTCATATCTATCTATCTATCTATATCTATCTATCTATCTGAGACTATTCATATCTATCTATCTATCTATCTATCTATCTATCTATCTGAGACTATTCATATCTATCTATCTATCTATCTATCTATCTATCTATCTATTCATATCTATCTATCTATCTGAGACTATTCATATCTATCTATCTATCTATCTATCTATCTATCTATCTATCTATCTATCTATCTATCTATCTATCTGAGACTATTCATATTATTTATCTATCTATCTATCTATCTATCTATCTATCTATTCATATCTATCTATCTATCTGAGACTATTCATATCTATCTATCTATCTATCTATCTATCTATCTATCTGATCTATTCATCTGATATTCATATCTATCTATCTATCTATCTATCTATCTATTCATATCTATCTATCTATCTGAGACTATTCATATCATATCTATCTATCTATCTATCTATCTATCTATTCATATCTATCTATCTATTCAGACTATTCATATCTATCTATCTATCTATCTATTCATATCTATCTATCTATCTATCTATCTATTCATATCTATCTATCTATCTGAGACTATTCATATCTATCTATCTATCTGAGACTATTCATATCTATCTATCTATCTATCTATCTATCTATCTATCTATCTATCTATCTATCTATCTATCTGAGACTATTCATATCTATCTATCTATCTATCTATCTATCTATCTATCTATCTATCTATCTGTCTGTCAAAATTCAGTCCTTTCGTTGTGAAACTGGAGTGACCCATTCAGTGCGCTGGCCTGGTCACCCTTTAGCCCGTATCGACAAGATCCAAAGGAATACACACTACCTTTGAGGTCGGCTTGGCTGCTGCGGTTAACGGAAAGTTGTCAGTGTTGACAGCCAACCGACTTTGCGGCTACACTCCGGGATGTCTGTTTGGATTTACTTCCATAGCCTTTACCTTGTTTTGGATATGACTCCAAGGCAGCGGAGGGTTGAAATCAGGGTTTTCCTTCTTCTATATGGACTGCCCCCTTTAGCTGTTGAGCCCCATCTACCCGAAATAGCTGATTAGGATTATTAAGGTTTTGCCAGGCTAGGGTTTTAATAAAATTTTCTCTCCCTCTCTCAAAATTTATCCCATATATATATATATATATATATATATATATATATATATAAAATGAAATGGAGTAAGTTTGACTATTATTTAATATATTTTCTGTTTATACGTTATTTTTATACGAAATTTCTTGAGCATTGATGCCGTTAAATATAATTAATACTGTTTAATTAAAACAGAGCAATATATATATATATATATATATATATATATATATATATATATATATATATATATATAGAGAGAGAGAGAGAGAGAGAGAGAGAGAGAGAGAATAAATTACTACAAACATTATTATAGTAGATAAATAAAAATAAATACGAAATATGTTTCCCGGCAGGGATCGAACTTGCGTCCCTATTTTTCAGGGAACGCATTTTCATTAGGAAGATTTTTCGAATGTGCAGACCAATAGACGTAATATCCACTGTTTAATAAATAAAAATGTGGCGTCTATTTCAGATACGAAGTATCCACTATAATAACGTTTGAAATAATAAAAATGTAGGATTAAAAAATAAATCCATTAATTCTTTATATATATATATATGTATGTATGTATGTATGTGTACGTGTGTGTACTTAAAGAGAGAAATGGTTTGTCTATAGGAATCAACACTGCATAGTGACTGTCAATTTCATGCCTCAGTACCATCAGAACACGTTCGAAGGTTAAAGATCGTAATAAAGCGTGAAACGAACAGTCATCATACAGTATTGATTTCTATGTTCACATTGTCTTTGTGTCTGCCTGTCTCTCTCTCTATCCTTTCTCTCTCTCTCTCTCTCTCACTATATATATATATATATATATATATATATATTAAATTCCCAGAAGATGAATTCTGTGGACAAAACAGATTGGCATCAAATGAATATATATATATTGTCAACATGGAAAAAAAAAAAATAATCCCTTACTATAAAGGTAATTTACATTAACCAGAAAAAAAGGCTTAGACAGAAGCGTCTATCTTTTTAAATTTGTATTTTTAATGTAACTATAACAACAAAAACATTTCGATTTCATTTTTGCCTTGAAAAAGTCGGAAGACGAAACGCATCGACAAAATGTTATGGGTTTTATCCACCCTATACTTAGGGTCCAATACCAATTGGTGTCAAGAACATCGTATTTATTTAAGTATCATTTTTTTTTTGTTTTAGGGACATAGTAACTGCACTCGATCTCTAACCAAGTTTGTAAAGAATGAAGTGACTGGGTTTCTAATTCAAAATTGTCTTTCTCCTGGCCTCGTTGACAACTACAGCTAGATAGCCCGGTCTGCTTTGCTATTTAACCGGCAGCCGATGAAAGAACAGATGGATACGAACTTTTCCCAAGAATATTTGTGCAAAAGTGAATTCTCATTCCAAATCGCTAACCATTAAGCTATCTTCACATCCATCGTGGCAGAATTTGGTTTAATTTAATTTTCATAGTTTTTTCTGTCATTTTTATTATGATACGATATTGCTTAATTTTGTATAATTATTTACCCGCTATCCCACGCAGCAAGATGTGGCACATGACCGAGTTTAAAGTGGGGTATCCGAGCCCGTAGGCTCGGGCAAAAATTCCCTACAGACCACGTAAAAACGGAGTCAGTTTCCTGAGACGACACTCCGCCCCTCGGCAGAGCCTCGTCTGGGGGATACCCTCTGACATAAGTATAAAAAAATTGCTTAATTTTGTATAGCCAACTATAAGGAATCTTTAAGAGAGGAGGGGTGTTCATTAATGAATCCTTAAGAGAGGCGGAGTCATTATTTTCAAAGTCTCGTCTGTTAGAACTGGTTGGTCTGAAGTGATTCATTGAACAGGACTTGTTCTTCATTTTCCTTTTCTGAACGGACGCGACGCCATTAGAAAACTGGAAGGAGAAAGAACATTTTCGACCTAACATTCATAGAGGATAAATTGTACTGTGAAGCGACCATCGTTCGTTTTATTTATAGCAACTTGACGCCTACTCTTTCTTTAAAAATAAAAAAAATAGCAGTCTAGGTAGGCAAACAAGCAGATTCTTTGCAGGATTCTTATATTGGTGAAGTAATCTGATATAACGATGATAGTGATTCTAGGCCAAATAGATAATAACTTACATTTATATAACCCTCCCTCTGCTAGTTTGGAAAGATATTAAGAAAGGTAGCAGCCTTTCATCGCCCCCGTCAAGATTGACAACGAAGGTAAAAATCTTTAGAGTTGCTATTTTCTGTGGGTGTATTGAGGATTAACATCGTGAAAAATAGAATCGGTATTAACACCCTTCTTCTTCTTCTTCTTCTTCTTCTTCTATGTGTTGTGTCCCTTCAGGACCTGAGCGATCATAGCTCTCCACAGCCTCTTATCCTTTTAGCTCTTAGCAGCGTTTGTCCTAACCCTTTAAGTATATGTCCTGCTTCCTCTTGTATCTTTTGCTTTCGATATGTCCTGTGAGTGTCAAATTCTCCAAACTTTCCTTCCTCATTATGTATCCAAGAAATTTCAGCTCTTTCTGATTTTGATTATAAGGGTCTTTTTCTTCTGTTTTCCTTAAGACTTTTTCGTTACTTACGCGCTCCGTCCTTGGTATTCTCAGCATCCTTCTGTAGAACCACATTTTTGTTGACTTCAGTTTTCTCATCATCTGTGAGATTGTCCACTCCAGCATTCTCTGTCATATAGGATAAACGCCTTTTAAATATTTGCAGAAGTTACACAAGTTATTTTGATGTAATCTGTAAATCAATTTTTTTTCTGTTTCATCTTTCGACTCTCATCTGAAATAGGTCAATTGAGTACGCGTGTCAAATACCCACAATGCATCAGGACAGCAGTCAAGTAGCTCTCTTCTCTGGCAAGACTGGTGTAAAACAATCTTCTTATATATCCACCATACACACTTATTTAGCCTTTTATCGAACTAAAATAAGGTTTGTAATTCTCTTTATTTGATACATGTTACCTATAGACAGTAATGGTTGGTGTCGGAGTTCAGAAAAAACTGGAAAAATTCAGTCTTCATAGAAAGATACGATTCCTATTTGATCTTGTTCCAGACTAAGCTAAGATTAAAAAACATATAATTTACATTAACATTAACAGTGTATCATACCTTTGCACAAGACTCGGTAAGTTAATTTTCTCCCAGGATTCCATGCGTACGCGCATGCTTATTCCGAACTTATTCCCTTTTGGGAATGAAAATGCAAATGGAACGCAAAAATGTCCACAGCAGTTGATTATTAAAACTAAAAATGACAGCGATCTCTTTTTAACGAATACAAGACTCAATCTTTGTACTTCGGAATTTTGCTGTATTTTGATAGGACACAGAATCCATTTTGTTTATTTTTCATATGACATATTTTTTAAAGCAGGTCATATGAAAAATAGAACTGAATTTGCAATAAATGTAGTTTACTAGAGAAATCCTATTGAACTGACACCAAGTTTCGATTGTCTTTGATGATCAATTCAGGGCCGAAGGTGGAGAATTCGTCAGTGTTCGTTTAACCGATATCCTTTATGAAAGAAACAAAAATATAGTCGGATGCTATAAAGAATACACGAGGAAGTGCGTGAGTGAGTGGGTGGGTGAAGGTAGTTTGCTTTTTGTGTTCATATGTGAAATCACGTGATCCTGTTTCTGTTCTCAGGTGCATTTTTATATTACTTACATATTTAAAAGCTGGATGAGTTGGCGTTCGAAACTATGGGACTCAGGTTCGAATCTCATCATGGTCGAATTGTGATGCAGGTAACTTTTTTATGATATCGGCCTGAAGGTGGGGGGCGATCCAAGGGTTCGAACCGTTGAGAAGTGCCTGAAAACCATACCTCCGGTTGACTCTAGCCTCGCGAATGAAACTGGATCGAGGGAACTTTTCGGAAGCCGTCGACGGTTGTACTAGCACGAAGTCACAAGTCTTCGTGACCGAGGTCTCTAGCGTATTGATTTTGTTCAACTACTGATCACATCAAGTTATGCGATCTCTCCCAGAAACTGTAATTACGGTCAGCTCGGCATAGTTTTTTCTAATCATTTCACACCAAGCAAGGCAATAAAGCCACTAAGATGCAAGGGATTATTGAGTGTTAGAGACTATGAGAAAAAGAAAACTATTAAGGAGAGAGAACAATAAAAGAACAAGAATTAAGAAGACAGACGATTACGATTGGCATTGCATTTAAATTTTGAAACATCAAAGTTGACTTGGAAGCAAGAAGCTGGTAGAGAGTTCCACAAGCAAGACGTGCAATAACAGACACTTATTAGTATAGAACTTAGGGTTTCATCTAGTTATTTTAGCTGTAAAATGATGAAACCTTACCGCCAATCTAGTACTTCGATTAAATTCATAAAGTCTGGGTGCCATAGAGGAAAATTCATCCGAACACTTACCATGAAAGTATTTATAGAAAATGCAAATGGAAGCTATATTACGGAGGTGGGAAAGTGACTGAAGCCGAGATGGCAGGTCAGCACCATTAACATTGTAGATTTTTCTTTTATCAAGAATCTCATGGGATGGACATTGATTCATAGTTCAAAATTAAAATAGTACAAAAATATTACAAAAGCAATACTCGGGTTTAAGTGCAGGAAATGAAGTGAAGGTATGGGTCAATAATAAAAAAAAAAAAGTAGAAAAGGGG